TTTACAATGTTGGCCAGGCTAGTCTCGAACTCCTGGCCTCAAGTGATCTCCCCGCCTCAACCTCCCAAAATGCTTGGATTACAGGCATGAGCCACTGTGCCCAGCCATAATCCCAACTCTTAAATCTTACCTGCCCTTAATATTCTGTAAAATATTTATGAGAGAACAATTTCTTCATTCTATAAATACCGAGCCTTTATGATATCCCAAGCACTGTTCTGAACAGCACAGACAAAAAGCCCTGCCTTCATGGAACTTTACGTTTTAGAAGAGACAGACAGCAAACATGTTAAATAGGCAAACTTTTTTTTTTTGAGATGGGAGTCTTGCTCCGTCTCCCAGACTGGAGTGCAATGGCGTGATCTCGGCTCATAGCAACCTTCTTCTCCCAGGTTCAATTGATTCTCCTGCCTCAGCCTCCCGAGTAGCTGGGATTACAGGTGTCCGCCAACATGCCCAGCTAATTTTTGTATTTTTGTAGAGACAGGGTTTCACCATGTTGGCCAGGCTGGTCTCGAACTCCTGATCTCATGTGATCCACCCGCCTTGGCCTCCCAAAGTGCTGGGATTACAGGTGTGAGCCACTGGGCCTGGCCAAATAGGCAAACTTTTGTAGTATGTTAGGTGGTGATTGAGGAAAGGGAGTGGGAGAAGGAGTGTGTTAACAAGTCTAGAGAAGGTGGCCGGGAAAGGCCTCACTGAAAGGGGCACATCTGAGTACAGACCTGAAAGATAATTTAGTGGCAGTTGTGAAAATGGAGAGAGGAAACGATCCCTGAGCTGAGTTGGCCTTGTTGGGAGCATGCTGAGACTCACTGCAGATCCAGGGCTGTTGTAATCATTTGACTCCCTCAAGGCAGTAAGAAGAGCAGGGCAGGGCCTGGCGACCTTACCAGGAACCTTGCCGCATCCACTTCAGCTGCCTTTCTCATCCTCGACTCTTGACCTTGCCCTCACTTTTGCCACTCATCTCCGGTCTTTCTTGCCTGTAGTCCTAAGATTTTCCAAAAGACCAAGTGCAGCATCTGTAACAGTGCCTTGGAGTTGCCCTCAGTCCACTTCCTGTGTGGCCACTCCTTCCACCAACACTGCTTTGAGAGTTACTCCGAAAGTGATGCTGACTGCCCCACCTGCCTCCCTGAAAACCGGAAGGTCATGGATATGATCCGGGCCCAGGAACAGAAACGAGATCTCCATGATCAATTCCAGCATCAGGTGAGAATGAGTGGGCTAGATGGACCAGGGGATTCCCACCAGTGTTACAGTCACTGGAGGGCTGGTTTCCTTATCTCCTCCTCATTTAAGAAATAAGCACTTTGGTTCTGATTCTTAATCCTTCCCTCCTCTTCTGCAGCTCAAGTGTTCCAATGACAGCTTCTCCGTGATTGCTGACTACTTTGGCAGAGGTGTTTTCAACAAATTGACTCTGCTGACCGACCCTCCCACAGCCAGACTGACCCCCAGCCTAGAAGCTGGGCTGCAGCGTGACCTGCTTATGCACTCCAGGAGGGGCACTTAAACAGCTTGGAGGAAGGCGTGGGCAACAGTGGAGAACCGAACGGACAGATACAAGGGGACCTGGGCAGACGTGACACAGAAGGCTGGCTGACATGCCCAGGGCTCTGCTCTCATCTAATGCCACAGCCCTCAGAACTACAGGAGAGTTCTTTCCCTGCCTTCTTACTTAGCTAGCCTGCCATCCCTCCTCTTGACTAGCAGTTTAGATCATTCCAGATCAGTGGGGGAGGGCACCTCAGCAACCTCCAAGTGTGGACAATAGCTGCTTTATTCTCTATCTAAGAGCACCAGGCTGTGCTTGGGTCCTTGCTCTCAGAGTCTATAAATAAAAGAATATAATGATTTGGGAGCTTATGGACTTTTTTCTGGGGACTTCCTGGTGATTCTTAACTGCATGATGGACTTCCTTCCCTCTGCACTCCTAGAGTTCCACTTCCCTCCTATGGTGATCTTAGAGATCAGTCTCCTTCTGGTAATGGGTGGGGCCTGTGGCATCGAGTACAGTTCAATTTACTGAAGAACGTCAGCAAAAGACCTAATGACTGAGCTCCAGCAGCACCCTGGACTGAGACCCCCAAAACAGCTCTTGCTGGTCTCTATGGCTCTAGTTTGGGCAAAATACTCAAGCAGGAGGCAGATTCTGGTAGGAAGCTTTGGGCTTAACCTACGTTAATAATGGGTAGGTTGGTGTCTTACTGTACTTAGTACCAGATGATAAACAGGATAAAAGGTCCTTTCTGGAAACATCTTTCCTTCTTTGAAATTGTCAGCTAAAGTTTATGTTGCTAGGTGTCCCTGTGTAATTTGGGTGGCGCTGGCTGTCAGAAAATTGCTCCTATTGTTTTTTTCCCCACAACCTCACCTAATTTTGTCTCCTGTGTTGTTTAATTGGAGGATATAAATTTGATATTGTGGTTTAGGTGGTATTTAGGATTGGCATGGGCTGGGCACGGTGGTTCATGCCTGTAATCCCAACACTTTGCAGGGCTGAGGTGAGAGGATCGCTTGAGCCCAGGAGTTCAAGACCAGCCCAGGCAACATAGTTGAGACCCTGTCTGTGCAAGAAATAAAAATATATTGGCCCAGCCTGGTGGCACTTGCCTATGGTCCCAGCTACTCAGGAGGCTGAGAGGAGGTGGGAGAATTGCTTCAGCCCAGGAAGTTGAGGCTACAGTGAGCCTTGATCACGCCACTGCACTCCAGCCTGGGTGACAGAGACCCTGTGTCCGAAAGGAAAAATCACTGGCAGTATTGTAGCTGCTCAGTAGACTTTGGATCTACTGACCTGGGTTCAAATCCTAATGGTGCTGTTTGCCTTAGGGTACATCTTACCTTCTCAACCTGTTTTTTCATTTTTAAATGTATTTTTTTATTTCAGTGGGTTTGGGGGGAACAGGTGGTGGTTGGTTATGTGAGTAAGTTCTTTAGCAGTGATTTCTGAGATTTGGTGCCCATCACCCAAGCAGCGTACACCATCTCCAATGTGTAGTCTCTTATCCCTCATCCGACTCCCACCCTTTCCCCCTCAACCTTTCTTCATCTGTACATTAGGAATTGTAACACCTACCCTGTATGGCTATTATGAAAGCCTAAAGAGCAAATAGGTATTAGTTTTTTATACAGTGCTCAGCACATAGGTGATTTTTTTTTTCCCCCTTAAGACATTGTCTCAGCTGGGCACGGTGGCTCATGCCTGTAATCCCAGCACTTTGGGAGGCTGAGGTGGGTGGGTGGATTGCCTGAGGTCAGAAGTTCGAGACCATCCTGACCAAAATGGTGAAACCTCGTCTCTACTAACAATACAAAAACTAGCCGGGAGTGATGGCGGGTGCCTGTAATCCTAGCTACTCAGGAGGCTGAGGTGGGAGAATCGCTTGAACCTGGGAGTTGGAGGCTGCAGTGAGCCAAGATTGCACCATTGCACTCCACCCTGGGCAACAAGAGTGAAACATCTCAAAAAAAAAAAGGTCTCACTGTCATTCAGGCTAGATAGTGCAGTGGCACCATCACAGCTCACAGCTGCCTCGACCTACTGGGCTCATGCAGTCTTCCCACGTCAGCTTCCCGAGTAGCTGGGACTACAGGCATGTGTCACTACATCTGGCTCTTGTATTTTTTGTAGAGATGAGGTTTTCACCATGTTGCCCAGGTTGGTCTCAAACTCCTGGGCTGAAGCAATCCTCCTGCCTTGGCCTCCCAAGGTGCTGGGATTATAGGTGAAAGCCATTACACCCAGCTAGGTGATTATTAATAATCATGACTGTTAATTAAGTTCATGGGAAAGCGCTTTTCCTATTAAGCCCTGTTCTCATTAAGCCCTGTTCTCACTAACACGTATGTAGCATTTGTGCTGCCACTCCAGTTACTTTTAGGCATGACCTTTAATCTCTCTGAACCAGTTTCCTCATTTTAAGAATTGAAATGTTGGCTGAGCCAGTGGCTCACACCCGTAATCCCAGTACTTTGGGAGGCCAAGGCGAGATGATCACTTGAGTCCAGGAGTTTGAGACCAGCCTGGGCAACACAGTGAGACCACCTCTCTGCTGTCTCTACAAAACATTTAAAAATTAGCCCGACGTGGTGGTGCCCACCTGTAGTCCTAGCTGCCTGGGAGGCTGAGGTGGGAGGATAGCTGGAGCCTGGGAGGTCAAGTCTGCAGCGACCCATGATCATGTCACCGCACTCCAGTCTGGGGACACAGTGAAACCCTGTATAAAAAAAAGAGGCCTGTAATCCCAGCACTTTGGGAGGCCGAGGTGGGCGGATCACCTGAGGTCAGGAGTTCGAGAACAGCTTGGCCAACATGGTAAAACCCCGTCTCTACTAAAAATATAGAATTTCCCAGCACTTTGGGAGGCCGAGGTGGGTGGATCACAAGGTCAAGAGATTGAGACCATCCTGGTCAACATGGTGAAACCCCGTCTCTACTAAAAATACAAAAAATTAGCTGGGCATGGTGGCACATGCCTGTAATCCCAGCTACTCAGGAGGCTGAGGCAGGAGAATTGCCTGAATCCAGGAGGTGGAGGTTGTGGCGAGCCGAGATCGCGCCATTGTACTCCAGCCTGGGTAACAAAAGTGAAACTCCGTCTCAAAAAAAATAAAATAAAATAAAATAATAGAATTAACCGGGTGTGGTGGTGCATGCCTGTAATCCTAGCTACTCAGGAGGCTGAGGCAGGACAGTCGCTTGAACCCGGGAGGTGAAGGTTGCGTTGAGGTGAGATCGCGCCACTGCACTCCAGCCTGGGCAAGGAGAGTGAAACTCTGTCTCAAAACAACAACAACAACAACAACAGAAAAATACAGCCTGCTTCAGGGTTATAGCAAAGCTAAGTTTGAACAGAGCAAAGGAATCGCCATAGAAGCTGTACTACTTGCTCACGCCACAGCTGGGGAATGGAGAGGTCGAATGGGAAGGTCCACTCTGCAGCAAAGTTCCAATTCCCGCCCAGAGGGAGGCACCTCCCCTTCGAGGGAGGGCGCCGGAAGTGACGCGAAGCCCTGCGGAGACCAGGAGTTCGACTGTAGGACGAGCTCGGGCCCCACGTGTTCCCGGTGCTCGCTGGCCGGAGCCCCCGGCTTCCCAGGGCCGGGGGACCTTAGCGGCACCCGCACGTAGCCTACTTCCCGAGCGGAGCCATGTCTGGTAACGGCAACGCGGCTGTAACAGCGGTGAGTGCTGAGCCGGTGACCAACACACTTTGGGCTTCTGAACGAGCCTTGCAGCGATTGGCCCCAGGTTGCCATCCTCCGTCGTCTATTGGTCGGAACGGCTATCCATTTTTTTTTTTTTTTTTTGTCCGAATAGTTTTTAAAGGGCCGGTTGCCCTTCGAAAGGAATAGGGAAATCAGAGAACGGTGGTGCTAGGTTAAGAGTGAAAGGATTGTCTGGAACAGAACGGCGTTCCTGCGGGCATCTGGGTGGGATTCCTGTCAGGTCTGGGATGCATGGCTGTAGATTTAGTGACCCAGACCACGAATGTTCGTCTACACAGACGGGGCCCTTTCACTTGAGGCTGGGCCGAGGCGGTTGCAGAGGCGGCATCTTTGGGAAGACACGTTCCACTTTTGATTCAGAGGAGAGAGTATAAGCCAAGCCTCCGAACTGCAGACAAACGTCTTGGAAGTGTGCCTTCTCTCTTTTTCTATTGTAGTGGTCTCCCAACTACAGCCAACTCTCCAATCCCCAGCTGAGATGCACCCACTGAAATACTACCGTGGGTGGGCCTTCCCATTACGAGCCTGTCTGCCAAGCTCTCGGCTTGTGCACAGGCAAACTGCAGAGTTGGTGGAAGCCACTGCCAGCCTGAGATAAGAAAGAGATGGGGAGCTGCTTATCTCCCCCTGTCCAGCCAATTGGTGAGGGTTGGGATTCTTTGCTCGTGCAGTCATTCCAGAGCCCTGGACTAGGAGTAGGAAGATCTGAATTGTAGCCCCAACTCTCTACCCATTATTAACTATGTGACCCTCGGCAAGTCACGTCACCCCTCGGTGCCACTCTTTGCTTCTGTAACATGGTACCAAAGGTGCCTGTCTTGTCTACTTGATAGGATTGTTGAGAAGACAACAATATGCAAAAGCAATAGCTTTAACAAAGAAGTGCTCAGTGTTTTATTTTTTAATGAAATGGTTTGACTTGAATATGCTGTGCACATTCAATGATCTTAAGGAATTATTTGAACCTAGTAGTTCTGGGACCTTAGATTCCTTTCTGTAGGCTCCCTGTGGTCCAGAATTTTGGTGGCCACATTTAGTATTTGAAGCCTAGCCTAATTTGCAAAGGGTCTCCCAGGGTTGATTTATTGGAGTGACTGCATGGAGTAGACCAGAGTCTAAGGGCAACAAGCTGTCACCTGCTCCAGCGATAGAGGCCCCAGATGTCTGGGTGCAAAAGAACTCCACAGCACCCTGGCCAACATGGTGAAACCCCATCTCTACTAAAAATATAAAAATTAGGCCAGGCATGGTGGCTCATGCCTCTAATCCTTGCACTTTGTGAGGTCGAGGCAGGTGGATTGCCTGAGCTCAGGAGTTCAAGAACAGCCTGAGGAACACGATGAAACCCCGTTTCTACTAAAAATACCAAAAATTAGCTGGGCTTGGTGGCATACACCTGTAATCCCAGGTACTTGGGAGGCTGAGACAGAAGAATCGCTTGAACGTGGGAGGTAGCGATTGCAGTGAGCCGAGTTCACACCACTGCACTCCAGCCTGGGCAACAGAGCAAGACTCAGTCTCAAAAAAATAAAAAAAAAATAAAAAAATTGGCCGGGCCTGGTGGCTCACGCCTGTAATCCAAGCACTTTGGAGGCCAAGGCGGGCGGATCACCTGAGGTCGGGAGTTCAAGACCAGCCTGACCAACATGGTGAAACCTCATCTTGAAAAAAGAAAAAGAAAAATTAGCCAGGTATAGTGGCATGCATCTCTAGTCCCAGCTTCTTGGGAGGCTGAGTCAGGAGAATTACTTGAACCTGTGAAGCAGTGGTTGCAATTAGCTGAGATTGTGCCACTGCACTCCAGCCTGGGCAACAGAGCAAGACTCTGTCTCCAAAAAAAAGAAAAAAAAGGGGTGGTGGAGGGGAGAAAAATAAACAGATGCATAAATAAAAAGGAACTCCATAGGATGAACATCCCAGATCAGGGAATGTCAGCAGTATCAGTATCTACGGTGGCCACTGTCTGATGTAGAAAGAAATGGGACCTCCGTCTCAGACTGAAGAATTCAGTTCTACCTACTTGGCAGTGAATACTTTTGTCCAAGGTACTCTGGCAGGAGGAAGAGGTGTGTCCTTTTGAGTTCTTGGCTTGGGCTCTTGCCTCCCAATATTTCCTTCTTGGAAACCAGAGGCAGCACTCCAGGTGAATGAATGTTAGGCAGCGCGGCCTCATATGGAATATCTGAGGCAGAAGAAACCTGAGTCCAAACCTCTTCATTTTATAGATGAACAAACAGATCCTGATGGGACAGTGTAGCCAAGGTCACCCAGCCTCTGAGCAGGACTGTACATCAGATCTGTTTACGTCAGTCTTAATGTATGCAGTCCAGCCAGATTAAGGAACCCTTAATACTGTCCGCTTTCCCTACTCTGAAATTCTTCATCTTCTTGAGTTATTTTACAGCCAGACATCTGGGCCTCTTGCTGGAGAAGGTGGCAGCTTGCTGTTTTTAGACGCTAGTCTACTCCATGTGGCATCTCGATGGCAATGAAATGTTCTCAAGTGCCTCGTCTGTTGTAGATAATGAATCTGTCCTCCAGTGACTCAGCACTGGTTCCCCAGTGTGGTCCTGGCTGCCCTGCCCCTGCCAGCTGCAGGTCCCACCCTCCCTGTGGCCAGACTGATGGGCCTTATCGCTTTACCCACCTGCTGTGCACCACACTCCCTCTGACAACTGCCTTGGCTTCAGGGCTCAGTGTCCTGGTTACTGCAGTGACAGCAACAGCAGATCCTACTATCGCCTTCCTCTGGTCTCTGCTTCTGTGGGTCCCTGAGGAAGGCAGAAGGAACTGAGAAAGGTTAAAGGGACCAGCCTTGGAGTATTTCCCCACTCTGAGACTCAGCTGGCCACAGACTGAGTTCTTTTCTTCCAAGCCAGTGATTCTGGTTCTTGGACAAGGTGGTGAGGAACACAAGGAACAGAGGGAACTGTGACCTGGGAACTTTTTCTGCAGGAAGAAAACAGCCCAAAGATGAGAGTGATTCGTGTGGGTACCCGCAAGAGCCAGGTGAGTGCAGGAGCCAGGGTGGAGGAAGTTTGTCGGAACAGTTGTGATGCTCACAGCATCACAAATTGGGGGACTCAGAGGGTTGGTTCCTAGCATGGAGGAGGTGGGGTGGCTGGGTGAAGAAATGGCAGATTATATTCTATGGCAAGATCATCCCTAGGCTGGGAAAATTGTTGGAGTGCAGATGATTCCTGAGCCCCTTCTCATTCCCAGATGGAAATTCCAGTCCCTTCAGCATCTGCCTAACCTATGAGAGTCTGAGCAGTGGCTGGGAAGGGCAGGACTAATTGAAATCTCTACCCCCAGCTTGCTCGCATACAGACGGACAGTGTGGTGGCAACACTGAAAGCCTTGCACCCTGACCTGCAGTTTGAAATCAGTGAGTTTTCTGGAAAGGAGTGGAAGCTAATGGGAAGCCCAGTATCCCAAGAGGGGAGAAAACAGCATTTCTGGCTTTGCCTATGACTAAAGCCTGTCCCGCTGCCCCGAGAATCCCTCTTGGCTGCTCCCAGCTCCAAAGGTGCTTTCCTCTGAATACCTCCAGCTCTGACTACCTGGGTTAGCCTGGCATTTAACATCTTGAGCTTTGGGTCTTTTTTATGAGTGTTTCTGTCTTCTGCTCAATTGTACATACTCAGAGGGCAGGGATCAGGGCTTACATGCCTCTGTCCCTATCATGAATTGTAGCACAGTGCTGGCCTCAGTAAATGTTGATCAATGAGCACCTGATTGATTGACTCTCTCCTCAGTTGCTATGTCCACCACAGGGGACAAGATCCTTGATACTGCACTCTCTAAGGTAACATATCTTCCCCCCAATTCTGGTCCCCACTCTTCTTTCCTTCCCTCAAGGGATTCACCCAGGCTCCTTCTTGCCCAACAGATTGGAGAGAAGAGCTTATTTACTAAGGAGCTTGAACATGCCCTGGAGAGGAATGAGTAAGTAAAGATAGGAGTGTGGTGCCACCTCCCCCACTCCCCACCCTGGTCTCTTTCTGGGACCCTAGTATGTTAGGTCTCTTGCAGGGACCCCAGATGTCAGCTAGGCTGCTGGGCTTAAACCCTCAGAGAGGCTGAAGGCGGCTCATAGATGGGTTTTTTCAGCCTTCAGAAAAGGAGAGTGTCTTAGTTCTGAGCCATCTGGCTGCCTGGAATGCAAGAATGGCCGGGGGAAGGAGGGTAGGAGGGAGGGTAAGAGGAGCAGGTTTCAGGCTCCTGAGGTCTTGGGAAGGCACGCTTCCTGAACTGCCCTAGGCTCCGCCACTGAAGTAGACCCAGGGATGGGTAGAGAAGGGGTGAAGGCTGGCTGCTCATACCCTTTCTCCTTGCCCCCCTCTCCCATCTTTGCAGAGTGGACCTGGTTGTTCACTCCCTGAAGGACCTGCCCACTGTGCTTCCTCCTGGCTTCACCATAGGAGCCATCTGCAAGTAAGAGTCTTGCAAGTAAGGGGGCTTGGGCAGTGGTAGGCATCATGTGAACCTTTGCCTTTCCCTTTGGGACCTGACCCTCTGCTTCGGGGTTATCTCCTCTGCCCTGAAGAGTGCTGATTGGTGGCAGAAAACTCAGGAAATACCAGTGAGTTGGCAATCGAGAGAGAGTAGAGGTGATCTGAACTGAAATCTCTTCCCTCATTTTATGCCCTTCCCTCATCCCCCAGGCGGGAAAACCCCCATGATGCTGTTGTCTTTCACCCAAAATTTGTTGGGAAGACCCTAGAAACTTTGCCAGAAAAGAGGTAAGTGGGGCCTGGATAGGCAGCTCGGTGGGATGTGCCCAAAAGATGGAGGGATGGGAGGAGGAGAGGAAAGGAACAGTGACAGCCTAGTGTTAAAATCTCATTGTAACCTCTCTCTTGGCAGTGTGGTGGGAACCAGCTCCCTGCGGAGAGCGGCCCAGCTGCAGAGAAAGTTCCCACATCTGGAGTTCAGGAGCATTGTATCCTTTTAGAAGAGGGATGTGGGCAGCAGCCAAGGAAAAAGACAAAGTCTAGAGGACTCTGGAAGTCCTGAGAGTGGAAGGGGCTTCCACCTAGCAGCACATGGGGTCAGTGGCCTGTCTTTCCTTCCATCCACTCATCTGTTCACTCATTTATAGTCTAATGTTTTCTTAGCCCCCAGGCAAGTGCTTGGAATGCAAGGCACTGGGGATAATGGTGAGCAGCATAAACACTGCCCCTGCATATTAAGAGTTTACTTTTTATTTAGGGATAATGCAGTTATACTGAACAGTGACTGCTTCTGAAGGGATAGAGAGTACCTCTTTTTTTTTTTTTTTTTTTTTTTTTTTTTTTTCTGAGATGGAGTTTCACTCTTGTTACCCAGGTTGGAGTACAATGGCGCAATCTCGGCTCACCGCAACCTCTGCCTCCTGGGTTCAGGCAATTCTCCTGCCTCAGCCTCCTGAGTAGCTGGGATTATAGGCACGTGCAACATGCCCAGCTGATTTTTTGTATTTTTAGTGGAGATGGGGTTTCACCATGTTGACCAGGATGGTCTTGATCTCTTGACTTCGTGATCCACCCTCCTCGGCCTCCCAAAGTGCTGGGATTACAGACTTGAGCCACCGCGCCCAGCTTTTTTTTTTTTTTAGACAGAGTCTTGGCTCTGTCACCCAGGCTGGAATGCAGTGGCGTGATCTCGGCAACCTCTGCTTCCTGGGTTCAAGCAATCCTCCAAACTCCTGACCTTTGGTGATCCACCAGCCTCCGCCTCCCAAAGTGCTGGGATTACAGGCTAGAGCCACCACACCCGGCCAGTACTTCCATTTTTATATGCTATTATATTGTTTTGACTTTTACAGTGAATATGTAGTACATTTCATAAAACTAAACTTAAAAATAGTATGTGCTAAGTGAAGTTGTGAATTTTTTGGAAACTTCTAGTTGGAATATCTAAACACAGAAATCTGGGGGTCAGGGAAGGTTTCTCAGAGGTCTTGTAAACTTGGGCAAGTTATTTAGCCTTCCTATGTCATTTTCCTCATCTATAAATTGGGAATAATAATACTACCTTCCTCACAGGGCTGTTGTGAAGATGAAATGAGCTGACATATGGAAAGCACATTTAGAGCAGTGTCTGGCATGTAGTAAGTATGATATAAGTGTTAGCTGTTACCATTAAGTTGACAGCTGGAAGATGAATGAAAGTCAGCCAGCTAGAGAGGTTAAGACTCAGGCAGAGGGAACCGCATGAAGCCCCAGATTGCCCGACACTATGGTCCTTAGCAACTCTCCACAGCGGGGAAACCTCAACACCCGGCTTCGGAAGCTGGATGAGCAGCAGGAGTTCAGTGCAATCATCCTGGCAACAGCTGGCCTGCAGCGCATGGGCTGGCACAACCGGGTGGGGCAGGTAGGGGCTGCCCCATCCTCTCCCCAGTTTGTCTGCATCTCCTTTCTGCCTCACATCATACCCAGTTTAGGATTTTTAGACTTTATGATTGTGTGAAAGCCATACACATTCAGTAGAAACTGTACTTTGAGTACCCATACAGCCATTCTGTTTTTTACTTTCAGTATTCAATAAATTACATGAGATTCAACACTTTATTGTAAAATAGGCTTTGTGTTAGATGATTTTGCCCAACTACAATAGGCTACTGTTAAGTGTTCTAAAAACATATAAGGTAGGCTAGGTGTATTAAATGCATTTTCAGCTTATGTTTGCAACTAACAATGGGTTTATCATGATGTAACACCACTGTAAGTTGAGGACCATCTGTCTTCACTTCTTGACCACCCCACCTCTAACACAAGCTGGGAAATTGCGAATCAGAGGCCAGACTCTAGGCCTTCATGGAGAAAATGTACAAAAAAAAAAAAAAAAAAAAAGACAGACTCACACTTAGGTCTACCCAGGCTTTCTAGATTATAGGGAACCCCCAACTCACTGCCAGGTGTTTTAGACATCCCCATGTCCACCCTTCTGACTACCTGTTCTGCCTCCACAGATCCTGCGCCCTGAAGAATGCATGTATGCTGTGGGCCAGGTATACTTGACCAGGGAAGCCACATGTTGACATACCCCTTCCTTTTGTTCTCAGCCAAGAAGTTGGTCTGACAACCTTCTGCATCTGCCTTCCCAGAATAGCATTCTCAGGGAGGGGCAGGCCTTGGGATTCTACCAGTCCAGAAGATCCTGGGGAGCGAGTAGATAGAGGTGTTCCCATGCTTGGTGCCATTGGTTGGGGAAAATCAGGCCTGATGTCCTAGGGTGTTTTTTCATCAGGGGGCCTTGGGTGTGGAAGTCCGAGCCAAGGACCAGGCCATCTTGGATTTGGTGGGTGTGCTGCATGATCCCGAAACTCTGCTTCGCTGCATCGCGGAAAGGGCCTTCCTGAGGCACCTGGTAGGTAGAACCTGTGCTCCACCTGTGGAGGGCTGGGGACTTGGAGAGCTGGGAAGGGTGGTAGGGAGATTTTTCACATGAGTGCTTTGTATATAGTGCTAACTCATTCTTGTTGAATGTTGTGCATGGAGAGGACCAGGTATGGGCCCACAGTTGCCTTTTCAGTGGTGTCCTCAGGTCTGTGGTCACAGGGTGGTATTAAGAGCCCTTGGAGCTCATAGCAACTTCTCATTGCAGGAAGGAGGCTGCAGTGTGCCAGTAGCTGTGCATACAGCTATGAAGGATGGGCAAGTAAGCAGGGGAAAATGGGTGAAAAGGCAGGAAAGGGAGGACTGTGGCATTTCTTCCTGTGCATCCAGGCTTCTAAGCAGACCCCTCTCATACTATGTTGAGGCAACTGTTTTCATCCCCAGCTGTACCTGACTGGAGGAGTCTGGAGTCTAGATGGTTCAGATAGCATACAGGACACCATGCAGGCTACAATCCATGTCCCTGCCCAGGTACCAAAGCTGAAGGGTGAAGGGGGTAGTAAACAAGAGTGCATATAATCTCTCTTGTTCTCACCAAATCCCACCTCCACTCACACAGCATGAAGATGGCCCTGAGGACGACCCACAGCTAGTAGGCATCACTGCTCGGAACATTCCGCGAGGACCCCAGTTGGCTGCCCAGAACTTGGGCATCAGCCTGGCCAACTTGTTGCTGAGCAAAGGAGCCAAAAACATCCTGGATGTTGCACGGCAGCTTAATGATGCCCATTAACTGGTCTGTGGGGCAGATGCCTGGGTTGCTGCTGTCCAGTACCGATTCTCATGCTAGCTGAGGAGCAATTACCCCAGGAGACTGAACAGCAGGGTCCAAGCCTTCCAGGGATTTGCCTCACCATGAGGCCTTGATGACTGCCTTGACTCCTAAGAATGTGGGGGCTTCATCTCTTTAGAGAAATCCAAGCCACAGCCTTTGAATGTAACCAACTCTACTAATAAACCAGCTCTGAAGGTGCTTTTTGTTGTTTTTCTTTCGTGGGGTGGGTGGGCAGGAAGATATGAACAAACACAAAGCCCTTTCATCCTCACTTCTGAGGTTGGGACTTTTGCCCAAAGTTCTCCTGGAACATCCTTTCTGCTTCTGCCTCGATAGTTTTCATTTCACACAGAATAAACTGTCTCCCAGAAACACTGAGAAACAGAGCCATAATCTTACATTCCTATGGTTTGTCCCTTCTCTAGTTAACAGTAGAGCCTATTTTATTGCATGGGCCCTCCCACCCCCACTATCTCGGCAAGGTACACAAAGTCACTAATTCTACACCCTCTCGCAAAATGAAAACAAACGCTCCATTTAAAAAAGAAACAATCCTTTAATAAAATTAGTCCATCTAAAACTCCCCAATGCCTCAGGTTCTAGTCTTGGAAGGGTTAGCTGCAAAATTCCAGTTCGGAAGCCAACAGAGGCTCAGTCCAGACAGGGATTAACCAACTTGTGCTGGTATCTAGGTGCTTGGATTGCCGAGGAGAGTTTGCTGGAAGGGAAATGGGGCAGCGTGGGGAGGCCCGACAGGCCTGGCTGCCAGTTGGCTTCCGCGAAAACGACTCTTGCTGTCCACATAGCCAGCCGTGAAGCTGAACTACAGGCCTCTACCCTCCCCCAAATGTCCTCCTAGGAGGCAGTCACTCGGGAGGAAGATGTGCCTGTTACCAAGTGCTTCGTCCCGGCCCCAGCGCAGACCTATGAATGAAGATGGAGATCTGACGTGAAAGGCCTGAGTCCTGGCCACAGAGGGGGCGCCAGACGGAAATCGGCGAGCGTGTATCTCCCTCCAAAGCCTCCAGCCAAGCGGCCACGTCTGAAAGTCCTGGGCTAAGCACCACGACGGGGGAGGACCAGACGGCGCGGCTGCCGCTGCCGCGGGACTCACTCACTCACCTTCAGGGCCGCGGCCTCTCGGCCTGGGCTGCCCACCCCGGCCCTGCGTCAGAGCGGAGGCCAAGTCTTCCAGAAGGTGCGGCGGCCTCCCCGCAGCCCCTCGGCGACTCAGGATGGGGCGGCTGAGTCACGAGCGCCGGGGCGGGCAGGTGCTGCGTCGCCGGGCTCCCCCCGGCAGGCTCGGGTCCTCCGCGCCACGGCGGCCACCGAAGAGCGCCCGGCGGACGTGGCAGGGCCCGAGGCCGACGCGGCAGGGGGTGCGGGCCGGGAGCGGGGGCGGACGGGGACTCCAGGCCGGGCGGCGGGCGAGTGGAGGGGAAGGGAGGCGGGAGCCGCGGCCCGCTCGCTCCGCGGTCTGAAGTGGCTCAGCTCTTTCCGTGAGGGCGGTGGTGGCCCTTAAAAGGGCCTTTGTGGTGGCATGGGGAGGCCTGGCGGCCGGCCGCGACGCGGGCCCTCTTAGTACTCCTGGGAGGCCTGGGTGGCCTTCTTGCCGCCCGAGGGCGCCTTCGGCCCCACGGTGGCGCTGGTCTTCTTGGGCAGCAGCACGGCCTGGATGTTGGGCAGAACGCCTCCCTGGGCGATCGTTACGCCGCCCAGCAGTTTGTTGAGCTCCTCGTCGTTGCGGATGGCCAGCTGCAGGTGACGGGGGATGATCCGCGTCTTCTTGTTGTCGCGGGCCGCGTTGCCCGCCAGCTCCAGGATCTCAGCGGTGAGGTACTCCAGCACTGCCGCCAGGTACACCGGCGCGCCGGCGCCAACGCGCTCGGCGTAGTGGCCCTTCCGCAGCAGCCGGTGTACGCGGCCCACGGGGAACTGGAGGCCAGCGCGCGACGAGCGCGACTTGGCTTTGGCGCGGGCCTTGCCGCCAGTCTTGCCGCGGCCCGACATGCTAGCGAGGTAGACCGGTGAAGCTCAACGGCTCAGTGATAGCAGGACAAACGCCCTCCGCAGTCCAACTGCTGTCGCGCGCGCGCGCGCCGAGAGGCCGTCTTTATAGGCCCCCAGGACACACCTCCGCACCCTTCTGATTGGCTCTTTTTTCCAGTACCTTCCTCCGATTGGTTGCGGTTAACCCTTGAGTGTCGCGCTTCTGCTGAGGTAGCGCGCCCGTTGATTGGTCGAATTTGAAAACCTTTTGCCCGGGGAGAAAAGGCGAGAAGGAGGGGTAGCGCGCAGACGGAAAACCACCCGCGAATGTAGCCAATCCTTGTAAAGCGCGCGAGATTTAAACGGTACGGTCGGAAACCAGAAGCTGAAGACAAAAGGGGTGAAGTCTCAGGCTACCAGAAAGCTTCTGGGAAATTGTGCTGGCGTAGGAATTTGAAAGGACTGGGGTCAATACTACAGCTACCGCTGCCTCCCTTTCCAGGCCAGGTCACTCTCTATACCTTTCTCCTACCTGGCAAAGGGAGAATAAGAAAGGGAAGAAATTAGACCCCTTAACGTTTTTTTCTTTCTTTTTTTTTTTTCTTGAGACGGAGTTTCGCTCTTGTTACCCAGGCTGGAGTGCAATGGCGCGATCTCGGCTCACCGCAACCTCCGCCTCCTGGGTTCAGGCAATTCTCCTGCCTCAGCCTCCTGAGTAGCTGGGATTACAGGCATGCGCCACCACGCCCAGCTAATTTTTTGTACTTTTAGTAGAGATGGGGTTTCACCTTGTTGACCAGGATGGTCTCGATCTCTCGACCTTGTGATCCACCCGCCTCGGCCTCCCAAAGTGCTGGGATTACAGGCGTGAGCCACCGCGACCGGTCTTTTTTTTTTTTTTTTTTTTTTTAAAAAAAGACCGGGTCTCGCTCTGTCACCCAGGCGGGAGTGCAGTGGTGTGGTCTCGGCTCACTGCAGCCTCGAACTCCTGGGCTCAAGGGATCTTCCCTGGTCAACCTCCCTAGTAGCTAGTACTCCAAGCGTGCCCCACCACATTTGGCTAATTATTTTTGTAGAGACAGCGTCTCATTTTGTTGCCTAGGCTGTCTTGAATTCCTGGGCTCAAGCAATCCTGCCTCAGCCTCCTAAAGTGTTGGGATTACAGGTGTGAGCCACCACACCCAGTGACTCTCTGAAAGCTTGATCCCCTTCCAGGAAACAGGATAACTTCAATCTTGTGGCCCTCCAAGCCACCTGAAGTATCAGGATTTCTTTCTTTTTTTCTTTTTTCTTTTTTTTTTTTTTTGAGACAGAGTCCGGCTCTGTTGCCCAGGCTGGAGTCAGTGGCACATCTTGGCTCACTGCAACATCCGCCTCCCAGGTTCAAGCAATTCTCCTGCCTCGGCCTCCAGAGTAGCTGGGACTACAGGCACACACCACCACATCCGGCTAATTTTTGTATTTTTCGTAGACACAGGGTTTCACCATATTGGCCAGGCTGGTCTCGAACTCCTGACCTCATGATCCATCTGCCTCAGCCTCCCAAAGTGCTGGGATTACAGGCGTGAGCCACCATGCCCATCCAGGATTTCAGTATTTATTTAACATGTTCTGTTTGGTCTCAGTTCTGTTCGTTTCTTGCTAGAAGAAGAAAGAAGAGAGGAGACCACTATTTGAACCCTCCTCTGTGGCTAATTAATAGGAAGAGCACTGAAGGTGGAGTCAACCTGAGATCTGTTTCTGGCTCTGCTGCTTACTGCTATCAGAACCACTGTGAGTCTCAGATTATGCAAGGGAGAGAGATGGGCATCCTGTTGGAGGAAGTACCCCACCAACCCTCTCAATCTACCCAAAAATGCCCATATAGGAAATATACCTACAGGAACAATAAGAAAAATACAACGCTTTATTGTCTCCATTGGGAGCATGTGGCCCCCTGCTCAGCTCTTACTAATCAGAACACTTCATTTACAATCAAATGACATGTCACCTTGGAGCCTGTGTCCCTAGCCCTGGCCTAAGTTCTATCCCAAAGACCAGCAGTTCCTTGAGTCGGGACTCTGAAATTTGAGTGTGGATAACTGCAAAAAACAAACAACAACAACAAAAACTGCTGTATCCCACCCTGTGAGGCTGCAAAGATGGGATGGAGAGGGAGAGAGTGGCAAGTTGCAGGAGGCCATAGGCAAAGTCCAATCAGTCGTCAGTAGAGGACAAGAAACGCCCAGGATGCCAGTGATCACAGGGAAAGGAAAATGCTGAGAACAAAATCTGGAGGAGTATGAAAAGTGAGAGGCCTGGGCCAGGAGGCAGTCTTGGTCCAGAGAGAGGTCAGCCTGAGTCAGGAATCCTAGAGGCTGTGAGGTAAAGGACAATGGTCAAGGGACTCAGACATCATAGAAGAGTCGGACAAGCTGGTATCGAATGGAGAAGGTGATGGCACTGCCCAGGATCTGCAAGAAGAAATAGGCTGGAGTAAGAATCAGGAAGAAAGGGAGACAAGGAGATGTAAACCCTATCCCAATCCTCACCTGCAACAACAGCAGGAGCAATGTGAGGTTTCTCTCATGTATGGGCCCAAAGATTTTCAGTAGCAAGTTGATGAGGGTCATGTTGTTGCATTCAGTGAATTCACCATCCTCAGTCTGACTCTGGTGGACTGTCACGAGCCGGAGGCTATCTGCCACCTGGAGGGGCCAGAGGTGCAGAGAACTTCAGCTAATACCTATGCTTCAGGAATGTGGTTCTGTTGAATGCTTCCGAGTTCCCCTTGGATCTGATGCAGGCCTAGGTTCCCCATTCCTCGAGGTCAGGATGGCGACCTAGGGCCTTACCTCTTTGTTACCCTGTTACCTTTAAAATAAAGGTGCCCAAGAAAGAGAGGCTCTTGGTCTTGAACTTGGAATAGCTCATCTCCAGTTTGCCTGTCTTGATATTGAGTCTGCGGGGGGAAGATAGCTTCATGTGACTGGGCCACTATTTGAACCCTCCTCCCTGTGGCTAACCAATCGGAAGAGTATCGAAGGTGGAGTCAACCTGAGATCTATTTCTGGCTCTGCTGCTTACTGCTGTCAGAACCACTGTGAGTATCAGATGATGCAAGTAAATGTGCTTTGTAAGTTATAAAGGGCTACTCACATGGAAATAGTCCTTGTTTGGGCCTACTCCCTTTGCACAGCAAATGTATAGGCTTGCATTAGATATCCCAA